ACAGCATTACCACTAAGTAAGGACCGCAAACACATTTGTCCAGCCACCATGCCGCTGTTATTGTTATCTTTTTGCTTGAAGGCCACAGATGAAGCACCTGGAACCTTCTTCCCCAGGCCCAGGGCCCCTCCGCGCTCTAACCCAGCCAAGATCCAGCTGCATGACCCACCAACCCTGGAGAAAGCTCCTGAGTTCACACTCAGTCTCAGGCAGGCATATCAAAAGCACATATGGAAAAGTATGTCCCAGAGTGCTGTGAAAGAGGCTGTCCTGATGACTCAAAACAGGATGACACCAGCTTTAAAAACCTTCATCAAAACAAAGACAAAAGGGCTGGGAATTTAGCTGAGGGGTTCCGCTCCCTGCCTCTCAAGAACAAGGTCCTGAGTTCGATCCCTGGTACCAAAAAAAAAAAAAGAAAGAAAGAAAAACAAAGGCATAAAACTCACAGGTGCAAGTGAGACTCCCCCAAACCCACCAGCAAGCCCTTTTCTTTACTTCATAGTTTTCTCTACTCCTGACAAAAACAGTCCTTCCCTCCCCTTTGGTGCAGAGCCAAAGATTCCCTGAGCCAAGACTGCCCTCTGCCCCTTCTTAATAGGGAAGAAGAAAGGCTAAGAGCTAAGGAAAGAAATGTCAGCCAGTCGGTCCTCGGAGAGGCCTGGTGCTGAGCGAATAAAGTGCAATGCCCACATGAACACTGGCTGCTTTCCGGGCAGGGATGCTGGCCAGTGTGGGTTACATGGGGTGAAGACAGGATACACTGCCAAGAACTAAGGAGATATTCATCTTTCAGAAAGAACCGGGATGGAGAGGCAAAGGTGGAGGGCACCAAGTCCCTTCTGTGTATTTATGTCGGCTTTTATGCCATTTATCTCATGGTCTTCATGACACCACAGAGAAGGAAAGAGCCTCACCATGGGTGCATTTTCACAGATGTGTGCACCACAGCTGTGAGCTGTAAATGACTCAGCTAAGGAGTGAAGGTGGAGCTTGAACCTGTAGAAACTGAGCGCCAGCACCTGTCCCTGTTGCATTGGATACTGTGGCTTCTCAGGACTCCTACACCTGAGGGAAGTTCAGAATTGAAAGATGGCTGACATGGGCACACTGCTCTTCACAAGATGATGCAAAAAATACAGCTAAATCCAGGGTCTCCCATCTCACAAATAACGGTGGAGCACATAGGAGTTTTAGAGAAGAGTGTAGTCTTTAGATGCTTAGGTGTGTTGCTGTACTGAAGGGTCGAGCCTGGACAGGAGGTTAGGAGTTTGCAGGACCAACGTCAAACGTTTTTTTTTTTTTCTCCCAGCTCAACTTGTAGGACTTTGAAGTAAACCGACCAAAGTGTGTATGTGCACAGATGCATGTGAGGTACAAAGGGTGATCAAAATATACGGCAAACATTTAAATTTTTTAAATTACAGTAAAAGACACATTGCCGTGAATCCTCCTTAGAATACTTCTGCTTACTTTGAACACACTTAACCCATTGTTCTTGCCACGTTCTGAAGCACTTCTGGAAGTCCTGTCTTGTGAGTGCCTTTAAGAGGTGTGACGAAAATTTTCTATGTACATCTAGTGAGTGCCTGGGCCTAGTGCCAACCAACGGAAAAGGCAGACTCGTAGGAACACTAGGGGGTGCCCTCCCCCATGCAACTTCTGGCTCTTCCTCAAAGTCAAATGAAAACGAAAACTGAATGTTTTCATGACATTTAGGCTGCCACAAAAGAGCAACTAAAGACCCCCATGAAAGAAGACATTCAGAATTGTTTCAGATGGGGTAAGTGTAAGTGTATTCTAAGTGAGGGGGAGTATTTCTGAAGAGATTAATGCAATGCATCTTTTACTGGAATAATTTTTAAAAAATTTATTCACTGCACTTTTCTATCATACCTCATCGGTTTGTCTACTTTGTGCACTAATTACCATCTTCTTAATGCATAAAAATGCCTAGTATATAGTATATACTTTAATACAAATATGTATTGAATTAATGAAATTTTCCCAAAGCAATACACTGGAATTATCAGGTACTGAATTCTTCATCAGCAGATTTTTGGAGCTCAGAGTTATGAGGATGAATTGTTACTCTTGGTGGGAAGGTATATAATAGCTAAGTAGGTCATTCTCTGGGGACCAGGCACCAGAGTAAACACTTTACAATTATTTAACCATCACCAGAATGGTATGCATTAAGTACTATTAATATTGCTATTTCACAAAAGCAGAAAATGAGATTTGCAGAGGTGAGGCCATAGGTGAGGTTACAGGTATTAAGTGGTAGTGCTTGGATTTAAAACCCAGGTTTTCATGAACTTTCAGCTATGTGGCCGGCTACACCAGATAATCACCCAGTTCCTTTCCCATGATATTACCTATTCTGTTTCTAAATCTAATACCTACACTGAAGATTAATACCCTGCAAATGGGAAAGGTTCTTCCCAAATGAGCACCAGTTTCCATGGAAATTGTATCCAAGGCTCTTTGACCTCAAGGCATTTATGGGTTCTAATGTCACTGACGAGATAAAGTCCAATTTCCTTCATGTGACACTTAATATCCAGTGGCCTTCAGTATCTGTGGGAATAGCATGCAGGATCCCTTGCTGGCACCACATTCTGCAGATACCCAAGTCTCTTAGGGTTTACCTACAACCTATGCACCTCTTCCATGTACTTAAACCATCTCTAGTTTACTCGTGGCACTGAATATAATGTAAATGCTATGGAGATAGCTGTTCTACTGCATTTAGATATTACAAAAGATAAAGACAAAAAAGTCTTTTCATGTTCAGTAAAGGCAAAATATTTTCCAAACATTTACAATCCAACCACATATTTTTGCATATGAGGATACTTTGTTGTCTTTTTATTTATCCCCATTTTCAATCATGTTTTGTGTCTCTCCTGATTGTTCATTGGTCAGTCTCTGCATGCATCCATCCACTAAGTACATATCGGGAATGCGGTTACTTCCCTAACCCTCCCGTATATATGTACCTTACAGTATCACAGATGGAAACAAATGAGTGAACCTATCTGATTCCTAGTCAGTGTAGGATATAGATCAAATGATTCCATCTTCCATGAAGCCAACCATAAGTATTATGAGCCCTTGTTGTCTACCTTGTCTTTCATCCTTACAGTAGTATGGTCTATTCCAGTGATGGCAAACCTTTTAGAGACCAAGTGTCCAAACTCTAACCCAAAACTCACTTATTTATTGCAAAGTGCTAACACTGCAATTAAACCTGAATACTGAGGTTTTAGCTGTTATCTGATGTTTGGCTACTGGGGTGACTTGGCTTGCATGCCGAAAGAGAGGGCTCTATGTGTCCACTGTGGCACATGTGCCATAGCCTCACCACCCCCGGCCTGTACCATAATCGATACACCACAAAATCTCACTTCAGTCCTGAGTTGTGTTCTAAAGTCAGTGCGAAAGGGCATAGTCAAAGTTGACCTTCTAAATCCCCTAGGAAGACAGTGCCTTATTGGAGATTGATCAGTCCCCCAGCAAGCCAGTCACAGCAAGTTTATCCCGAGGTGGAGAGGGCTTGCTGTTTCCTTGTTTAAAGTACCAGAGAAGACACCCTAGTTTAGAGCGAAGAGATGGGGAAGATGTACATCTAGTTCAACCTACAATCGCAGCGTATTCACACTGAGATGCTTGTTGAAGGACATCAAGAGACGACCTAGACTGTTCCTCATCAGAGCACACCATCCTCTCAGCAGTCACACGTGCACCCCCGCTCACTAGGAAGTAATGCAGGCCATTGCCTGAGCCCTCATATTATTTTCTCTCTTCCACGTAAATACACACAGGATGCTGTCCTGCTTGCTCGCCTCGTGCTGTCACTCCATTCTTTCCAACAGATAACTAAACTAGGATTCCTGGAGCACATGATTTCTAGCACTAAACAGTCAGACTCTCATTGAACAAGATCATTTTATCAGTCCCTTGGTGCACAAGATTCTCCATGAGGCGGCCCCTGTCTACTCTACACCCCCTACTTCCATAGTTGCTATATTCAAATTCTGCTGAACTCTTTCTCCTTTTATGAACAACAGAGAACGTCACAGTTCCTGCCTCTGCATCTAGTGACCCTTCCTCTGCTATCCAGCAAGCAGGCATCTTCAATCTCCATTCCAAGCATCATTTCCCTCTCAGTTGTGGGGTGAATGGGTTAGCACCTCTATTCTCACCCCGCCTCGAGCTCTCTGTCCTGGCTACACCTGCCTTCAATGCCTGCTCACTTGGCCATGTGAGTGCTTTGAGCAATAGGATGCTAGTGGCTGTGACCCAGCGAAGGTTTCACCAGCACACAAGCACTTATGCTGCTGGGCTTGTCTCGCTGTTGTGCTGCCCCTGCTACAACTGTCCCGGGTTAGTCTTCTGGTGGACAAGACAGACGGTACCAAGTCATCATGATGTGCAGTCAGCCCGGCCCCAAAGCAATCCTGGATCCGCCAAATGCAAACCCTCCCCTAGACATGTGGCAACACAGCCAATACTGGCTGGAAAGCCTGCCGCTGACTGCAAAGGTCTGAGAAAATCCAGCTGCCCCCCAGGCCAATTCAGTTGTGCCCCAGACTCACACTGTATGGATGGACGGTTGGACTTTGGTGATTATGAAGGAGTATGGCTGCGGATAACTGACATGGCTTTAAAGACTTCCCTGACCCTCTCAAGGAAACATGATCCCTCCCTCACCGGTACAAACCTATAATCTTGTGTTTTCCTCTATTACAAACACAACAAGCGGCACTATTCTAAACATGGGACAGAAGAAATAGTATGGAAGCTGATGTTTCAATTTACTGACCCCATCTGTATAAGAAACAAAGTATCTCAGAGGACCATCTCTGCAACTTAGTTTCAGCACAGTAGTTAGCAGCTCCTTGTTTTAAGACTCCTGCCCCAACCCTTCTGACTAACGCAGACACTTGGCTTGTGGTTAGTGGCTACTCCTGAGCAGTGCAGGAGTGTGTACTCACCTCTCCAGAGGACGGAGGGATTCTTCCACGTCCACTGCAAAGGCAAGAGACAGAGTGAGAAAGAGGCACTGGCCGCTGCCGGCCGAAGTGAGTGAGGTTCACAGGGGGAACTGCCCGGAGACCTGGTGTGGTGGGGCAACTCGGCTGTGACTCCCTGAGCCTGCACTGTGGCTGTCACCCACACTTTAGGGCCTTCATGTAGGGTGCAATCTCCTGCGTGAGACTTCAGCGTCCTGGACGTAGGGACCTCCACGGGGCTTCTCTCTTCATCTCTTCTCTGCTACAGAGCAGCCCTGCTCTTCCTATCACCTTCCTATCTCCCTGTGGTCCTGTGAGACTAGAAGTCGAATTATTCCCACTTTACTGACAAGGAAAACAGGCTCAGTGAGGACGAGACCCAAACTTAAATAGCTAAGGGTAGGGATCAGGGATCTATGAGACCATTTCATTTCAAAGACTCGGAGCTCCTCTCGCTGCTCTCAAACAACTGTCTTTCCCTTCCGAGAAGCAGCCTCATGCCTGAGTTATTTAACATTTATAAAAACCACACTTAGCCTCCTTTGATGTGGAGAGAGCCATGTTACTAAAGTAAGCTTAAGAAACTCTGTCCTTCTAGGAAGGATTTTCTTCCAGGATGAGACGTAAGATGGATCGATCGTAGCTCTGGTTCTCCAGGTGTGGTTTCCGGGCCAGCAACCACAGCCTCTTTCTGACTCATTAAAAGGCAAACTCTCAGGCTCCCACCCACCCAGACCACCTGAGTCTGAAATGCTGGAAATAGAGCCCGTTAATCTAAGACTGAACAAGGCTTCTTGGTGATTCTGATGCTTAAGTTTGAGGACCACCGAGTTCAAGAAACTCAACAGGAAGTTGCCCAAAACAGTCAAGCAAGCAGTCAAAGGCCGCGTTAGCTCTCTCCATACGCCATCTGTGGCGCCCATGGCCACAGTAAAACATGTGTTAGCATCACCACGCATGGCCCCCCAAAGAGTGCTCCCCTATCGCTGAATCCAAGCTAGGTGTTCAAAGTGTCAACAAGGCCAGACAGTGGAGGGAGGTGTTGATGCAAACTGTTCCTTTCAGTAGCAGAGCAAGAAACAAAGTAGCACAGAATAATTGGTTCCAGAGATGCATCACTACCTCCAAGGGACCAAGGAGGGCAGGAGCCATCACCGAAGGCCCCACAGGGCCTCGGGAAGGACTTCAGGTCAAGTCCACACTGGCTGGCTCCCTTTAGCTCCACCTCCCTTGTCCTGCATGACTGTGTTGGCAACACAGGCTTTGCGGGGAACACTGAGGTCCACTGGCTCCCTGCTCAGTGACTTTTCGTTCTCTTCCTCTTGGATGGATTCCCAGCCCATGGAGTGCAGTGCTCTAGAGGAAAACAGGCGGCCAGGGAGTGACGGGCCAGGTCCTGCAGCTTTGTTAGTCAGCAGCAAGCTGCTGGGCCTGTGTGACAGCACAAAGGGGACGGACTTCTAGCCCGGGAAGGAGGAGAGTGGCAGCGCCACGTCACCTGGGAGTCCATGCCGAGGGAGGGACTCCGGGGCCGCGGCCTGCAGAGCCCAGGACATGTGCGGCCCAGTGCATTTCCTTACCTTTGTCTTGGGTCTTGAAGAGAGTGGCCAGTGGTCTCTGGAAGGCCTGGAGGTCAACGGCTGGCGGCTTCGGAGGCTTCGGGGGCGCCGGACCCAGAGAGCCCACAGGGGGCAGTGGCTTGATTTTGGGGAGCTGGCGAAGCTGGGTGTCTGGCGGGCTTGCTGAGCACAGGAAGGAAAACGCAGGTTATGGTTTTGGTTGCATGACTGCTCTGGTCTCGCTTGCGGCCCATCTGCGTGCTCCAGTCAGCAGCCAGGGTACCCAGGGCCCTGCAACCGCCTCGCCTCACCCGCCCTGCTGCCATCTGCCCTTTCCTCCTCAGCAGGACCCTCTGCTCCAGCACTCAGACTCCCCTGACACACAGCATCAACTCTCCCCAGACTGAACTCAGCCCAGACGTCACCACTTCATGCCTGAGCTCCTCTTATCTCTGAGACCACTCATGCCATTCCTGATGCTGGGATACAATGGTCTCTCTTGCAAGCTTCAACTCTTTTTTTTCACCCACCCCTGTACCAGGGATTGAAGCCAGGGTCTGTGCACTGAGCTAAATCTCATTCCCCCCATTTCGTTGTTTTTAATTTTTTTTTTTTTTGAACCTGGGATTGAACTCAGGGCCTTGTGCTTGGGAGGCAGATGGTGGCACAACTGAGCTGAATCCCCAGCCATGTCCTTTTTAATATTGAGACAGTGTTCCACTAAGTTCTTAGTTGCTCAACTTGGGCTCAAACTTGAGATCCTCTTGCCTCAGCCTCCCAGAGTGTTGTGGTTATAGCCTTGTGCCATCTTGGCCTGCCTTCAACTCAATCTATTAAAGCTCTGCTTCAGTGACATTTGCTCTGGATAGCTTTTCTTGATTTCTCCAAAAATCAAGGCCAGAATTAGCCACTGTCTGATTTGTACCCATAACCGTTGCCAATAACCCTGTATCAGTACTCTGGCACTAGCGCAGAGACTGGACTATCTTCCCTGTGACCACGGGATCCCAGGGGCAGGGAGTGTGTTCTGTTTAATCTCCCAGGGTCTGCTCAGAGGGGACAGGATGACTCTCCCCTGGGACAGTTCTTCAAGCACTTAGGATGTGCCCGTAACACAGGAGCTACAACAAGGGGGAAAATCTGATCTGATATCCAGGGCTCATAGCCCAGAACCAGCTTCAAAGCTGGCTTTGTGAGTCTTGGCATTGGTGAAGTTTATGTCCTAGAATTTCCTTTTCACGTTAAAATTTCATATTTTGGCCTTCTGCACTCAAAAATCCAATTTCAACAGAAATTCCCAGATTACACATGAAAACCCTAGCTGCTCCTTGCACTGAAAATAATACAAAAAGTTCTCATATAATCCAAGGGCCTTGATAATTAGGTTTGCAGAATATCACAATTGACCCTATGGACCATCCATGCTAAAACTCAGCAAGCTGTCTGAGGCAAGGACTCAGCAGGTCTCTGAGGAACAGTTGTGACTCTCGCCCTGTCCTTTTCAATCTGGGAGTAGAGGGAAAGCTTCTTTCTCATCCTATCAGCAGGGGACACAGCTCTAGCTTCTCAGGGTAAAATTCTTCCCTTTCCAGGCTTTAACTCTTATAAGTCCAATATCAGTTTTTATCAAATTACGAGAAGACAATGAAAACGACCTATCACTTACTAACTGGCCTTTTAACTTTTACCAGGCATTATGCTAAGCAATTTACAGTTATTTCACTTAACTCTCTCAATAATTCCTTACTGTTTCCGTCCATCTTTCATCCCTTCCTCGGTAACTGTTTATTTATTATATTCTTGGTATCGTTCTAGGAGCTGGGGATGGAATAAATGCAGTCCTACCTTCAGAAATTTCTATTCTAATGAGAGGAGACCTGATGCTCAACAAGTAACTAACAAGCAAGACAGCTAGAGAGAGAGATGTTTGGTTCTCTTGCCTCAGTTGACTATAGCTAGTGGGCTTGGGAAGGAGAAGTAGGAGGAAGACCTGAGATTTAGCAAACCCCAGAAAGCATGGCCATGAAAACTGTAGTTAAGTAGTTTAGCCTCTAATGTAAGTACATAGAGAAATAAAGGAGGATTTTAAGCAGGAAATCCATTCATCTACCCAACTGTGAATCCATGCATTGATCCATCCAGCTGTCCATCTGTCTGTCCATCCATCCATCCATCCAACCATCCATCCATCCATCATTCAATAGATCCTTTTGTGAGGAAATGCTCAACCCGGGCTTGTACCTTGTTCATGCATAACCATAAAATGCATAAGCATATACCAGGTATAGGGATGAGCAATATGAAGAAAACCAAAACAATTTGGTAGGTATTTCAAATAGAATAACTGACAAGGTCCACTCAACAAGTGACACTTGAGCCAAGGCATTGGTGAAGGGAAGGAGAGAGCAGAAAAGTAAAAGACCTGGCAGAAGAGTCTCCAAGGCAGAGGGACTGATGGGTGCAAAGACCTGGGTGGGACCTGCTTGGTGTACACAAGGACTAGGGCAGAAGTTGGCAGGAGAGTGGAGGGAGAAGAGCACAGATCACATCTCATTCTTAGATGGCTCCTTAAACAGGAGAGGGATGTGCTCTGTTTCATGCTTTAGAGCAGTCATGTCCAACCAATACACCTGCTAGGAATGCAGCCCTACAAGATGGCAGACATCAGTTTTTAACACTATGATGTTGATTTTTTTTTTTTTTACAGCGTGGACTGCATAGGAATAGAATGGCAGACAGGGGAGGGAACAGTGCAGTGCCAGATCTGCCTCCTGTGCCTGCCACACAAAATCAGCCCAATAGAAACCGGAAACACAGGTGTATCAGACATCACATTCAAGTGAAATGGTGATATCTTTGTTGTTGCTGGTTTTTAAGACAGAGTCTCGCTTTGTAGTACAGGGTGGCCTTGAGCTCATGGAAATCATCCTGCCTCAGCCTCCCAAGTACTGGGATTACAGGTGTGAGCCAGCAGACCCAGCAAAATAGTGATTTCAACCTTACCTTTACATGTGTGCCTGGTGAAGATAGGCATTTATTGTTATTAAGTAAACATGTAAGTTTTCTTATTTCAAAGAACTCAGGCTGGCTGAGTTATTTTGTAAAATAACTCAGTAATTTAAAATAGTTTTTTTTTTTAAAAAACAGCAGTGGGACAGAAGTACAAGAAGGTATCAAATAGATTTTTGTCATCACAAATTGCTATAATTACATCTATAATACTAATACCAGAAATGTCAATACTAGCAATAACAATAGAAATGTTAATCTCTAATACTAGAAATGTTATAATAAAAATAAAGAAAATAAAAGAAGTTTTATTATTTATATGTACTAGCTATTCAAGTGTGTCCAGGCTATGGGCTAGACACACTTCTATTAGTAAAAATAATTTTTAAAGGCTGCCTTATTTATGTACATTAACTACATTATATATTTTATACATGGCCTAATACAATTCCCCTTTATTCAGTGCAGCCCAGGCAAGCTGAAAGGTTGACACCTGTACCTCAGAGGCCCCTGTGCCTGGAGATGGAGGACAGAACACACCTGAGCAAGAGGGTGGGCAGGTGGGAGACCCAAGGGTGATTGCAATAGACCAGATGAAAGACGAAGGTGGTGTGGACAGGAGCAGGAGCAGAGGTAGAGAGAAGCCAGGGAGCTCCAAACGTATGGGACTTTCGTGGTAGAACTCAGAGCTTGCTAGTAGATTTAGTGCAAAGAAGGAGGGCAGGGAGGAATGCAGCATCAGAGGGGACCGTGCTGCAGACAGAGAATTCTGTGACATGTCTGATGTGTAGGCAGTTTTGCAATGTAATTCCCGGAGATGAAGCACTTTATACAGACTTAAGTCTGCGATTTAGCAGGTGGACCCTCAATTCCCCTGCTGCATTCCCCAGGTCACACACAAGACCACTCCACTTGGACCCAACGAGCCCTCTGCCCAGCCCACAGGGATCCCTTCTCTTACCTGGGGCTGGGATGGCCAGCTCACACTCATAAACAGACTGGCAGGGACCACCCGCTGAGCTCCTATCAATACTGACTTTCTCTTGGTTCTTCTGGCCAGCTGGAGAACGCAAAGAAGGGGGTTGCTCAGAGGCTTTTCTTTGGGTCAACTCCTTCTTGGAAGGGAGTGTCAGGGCCCATTTTGTTTGAATCTTTTCCCTTGGTCTCTGTGGAAGAGGGCTCATGCTTTTCTGCCCTTCTGGATGGAAGGCTTTATCCCCACCATTGGTAAGGAGAAGAGCCGAGAACATCACACTCTTCTGAGACGAAACTTTCTCCCACTTCCTGAGCTTGTCTTGGAAGCTGTTGGCCACCACTCCTTTCTCCTCAGTGGTCTTCTCAGTATTTGATTGATTCACATCTAAGAGCAGAGAAGCTTCCTGGGAATTTCTTGGAGAACACACAGTAGGGTTTTCCAAAGGTCCTAGGGAACTTGGGCTCTTCTGAATTTTACTCCTCTGGGTCAACTTCATTCGCTGGGCTTTAGGAGTCTGGGACTCACCACTGGAGCCATGTGATGGTGACCAATTGTGGCTGGATGCGAGGGGTTTCCTATGGGCCCAAATCTGGGGGGGCCTTGTGCAGGCGATGTCACTCTTTTGAGAACCACTCACTGTGAATTGAATAGGTCCTAGAAGAGGTGGGGCATCACATCTTTGAAATCTGGCTCGAAGTTCCTTGAAGTTTCTCACCCCTTCCTAAAGCATAAGAGAAAAATAAAAGAGAGTCATTGTTCTAGGAAAAGTGCCAGCCTGATCAGCCGACATCACAGGACACAGAGACAGGCTTGGCTGGCTGACAGCACTGCAGTCGCTGACCTGGAGGGCAATGCCAGCCAGCCAAGCCCCCTGTCTGTGTGAGAGCAAAGCAATGTTCTCCTCTCGGAAATGTTTCAGGTGTATTTAAGCTTTTCACAATTTCTAGAATGAAGAATACTGACAGACAATTCTAAATAGTGTCGGCAAACCCCTTCATACAAACTGTGGATGGCTTCTCATTGCCTACGAAAATCAATTACAAACTGCTGGGTACAGCAAGGTTCTTCATAACGTGGTCCCAGTGAACTCAGAAGCAGTGGAAGTGTGATCTCTGCTCACAGCAAAACACAACTGCCCTTGTATCAGTCAGACTGTTTCTAATTTCTCAAGCAACCTCGCTCTGCTCCTACCCTAGCTTTGCTCACATTTCCTTGCATCACAAGTCACAGCCCGTGTACTCGGCACCTGCTTTCTTGAGTTCCCATGTCCCTCCCCATCCAGCAATTCTCCAGGGAAGACATAGAAGAGCCAGCAGCTTCCTGCCTCTTCAGGGCTTCCACAGCTTTTCTTGTCTTGGCTGTTGAAGTAGAGAAAATAGCAAACATAGGAGCTAAAGAGGTCTGGGTTCAAATTTTGAACCTGCCCTGGACCATCTAGACAAATTATCCGGGAAACACGGTACACCCTGGAGGTGCAGTTGCATCCCAAGTGATAGAAAGATTAGGCTTAAACTGTCAAGGGCCAGCACAATACCTGATACATAGTAAGCCTAAATAAAGCTTTGAAAAATATGTAATGATGAATAGCTACTTGATCTCACTTTTTTTTTTCCAGCTGCCCACGGGACGCCCGATCTTCTAAATTCAGCTCAAGATCAGGTTACGGAAATGGTGGCAAGTACCACAGCTCAGGCCTCTGGCAGAAAAAGAGGAACACCCAGGCCATATGGGAAGTGGTGGATGATCCAGCCAGGTGGAACTAAGAGAACTCCTTCTCGGTGCTCTTCTTACTGCCCCCCTTTCTCCTGCTAGGTCCCCTTTATTGTTGTAAGTGCCTCTGGTCATCTTTTGCCTTCAGAGGAGGAGGATGTCAGACAACATCTAATGGAGCGTTTTCAAAAAGCAAGAGCCACCATCCTCTCCTGATCACGTGGCAGGTTTTAAATTTCACGCACACAGCCTGTCTCTGTGGCAGTGACTTCTAATTCACCAGCTGAGGGCATGTCGGGGTGACCTTTCCCCGCTGTGTTTATAGTTGACTCACACCTGCCCTGGGAGGATTTAGGAAAGGGGCGGGTGCTAAACACGAAGCATAAAGCAGGTGTCTGGGAATGAGCTTGCAAGCTCCAGCTCTACTTTTCGTCCTTTGTCTCTTTCCCTCTCTTACCCACACACTCACCCCATCCACACATTGATAGCTCTCGCCACCAATTGCCAAAAGCAGGTTCCTTACACTTTGGCCAGCAGACAAGTTAGTTCAGCTACCCCACCTCTCCTGGACTGGGCAGAAGCCTACATTAGGCTGGAGCCAGGATGTCCAAGTATAAAGCTCAACTGCTTTTGTCTAGTTATGTGGTGTGGCAGTACACCTCATATCTCAGTCTTACCGTCTGTACTACCAAACAGGATTTCCATTTCTAATAAAAACTCAGGGTATAAGGGTCAAATAAGATACCAGATGTGCCACCTCAAGAGGTACATATTTCTTAAGTTGTGGCAAAATACATGTACCATATACTATCTTAACCATTCTTTTCTATTTTTTTTTGGTACTGGGGTTCAGACTCAGGATCTTGCACTTGCAAAGCAGGCGTGGTGCCAATGAGCTAAATCCCCAGCCTTAGCTACTCTTAACTGTACAGTTTAGTAGTAGATTCACATTGGTGTCTGCGGAACTCCTTCCGTGCTGCAATGCTAAAACTCAGCAACACCCCTACTTTCTACCCTCCCGCTCTCCTCTTGGCTCTCTGCATTTGACTATTTTAGGCACCTCACATAAGTACAATCACACAATATTTGTCTTTTGGGGACTCATTTTGTTTAGCACAAGAGCCTCAAAGGTTGGCCATGTTGTAGCATGTGTTAGAATTTCCACCCTTCCAAGGGGGATTAATCCTCATTGTATACACAACACATTCTGTCTTTCATCTATTCATCCGTCAATGGACACTGTGGTTGCTTTTACATTTCAGCTACTGCAAATGAGGTTGTTATCAGCCTGGTTGTACAAAGCTCTTTGAGACCCTGCTTTGAATCATTTTGGGTACGTTCCCAGAAGTTGCGTTGTTAGATCATATGGTAGTTCTATTTTTACACTTTTGAGAACACCCCACACCATTTCCCATAGCAACCGCACCGTGTTACATTTACACCAACAGTGTACCAGGGTTTCAGTTTACCCACATCCACACCACCACTTTTTTAATAATACATGCCAGGGGGTATGAGTCAGTCAGTGGATAACATTTTCAAAGAAACCTAACAGTTATTTTTAGCTCACTGTTTGAAGCTTTGTGAACCAGTGTTATTGCTTGGGAGAGTTGAATCTCTGTAGGACTTATTAGGCTAGGCCCCCATAGGAAATAGAATCGTGGATGTAATAACCTCCAAACCATCGCTTCTCGTTCTTTTGGCTAAGATCAAGTACAGCCTCCAACCCCAATATCCCATGCAAAGATTACTGGTTCAGGGAAAGGAAACCTGATTGGCCTGGCTCATCCTCTTTCAACAAATGTTCACCAGGTGTCTACTCTCCAGGCCAAACGCTACTTTAGACAGCCAAGCGCCCTCAAAGGTTGTGTGTGTGTGTGCGCGCGTGTGGTACTGGGGATTCAACCAGAGCTCATGCAGGTCACACAAATGTACTACGACTGAGCTACACCCCGACCCTTTTAATTCTATTTTTGAGATAGGTTCTTCCTAAATTTCCTAGACCGGTTCAAGCTCATGCTCCTGCCTCAGCCTCCAGAATAACTGAGACTGCAGGTGTGCGACACTGTATCTAGCTTACATATTGCATTCCAATGTCGGGGCGGGGAGAGGTAGAAGGGGAGAAGAGAGGGAAGGAGAAGGAGACGGAGGAGGAGGGGAGAGCTAGGAAGGAAAAAACATACAGGAAAACGTTTGAGATAAATGCAACGGATAAATTAAACAGATGGTGCAAGAGTGACGAGTGCCTACTCCCGATTTGCAGGGGCATGAACCAAATTTGGAGTTGGACTGGGCAATCTCTAAAGCCTCTTCCAGCACTAACATTTAGAATTTACTCTGCTTGCTACACAGCTGGGGAGTAGGTGTGATGCATTTGGGTCTTTCCTTCATCACCCATGGGTGGGAGTTCAGGGTGGAGAACACAAGGCAAGTCGTGGGCAGAGGGGCTGAGATGTGGCCAGGGGGCCTCCCAGTTAAAACCACATTTCATTCTTCCGGCCCCACTGTCAGTTAACCCCCCAGTGGGATCAGGAGTCTCAAGGCCTCACCGTCTTCTTCACGCTTTGCCACTGCCCTCCAGTTGCCCCCACTCAGCTTGGAATGACTTCGTTATGGTCTCTCTCCTTCTGCTCTGAGCCTCTCTAATCCTCCATTTACTCAGCTGTTAGACAAATCTGTTTAGAAACACAAATCTGATCATGTAAGTCCCTTATATGTTCAAAATCCTTCAATTTGGCTCCCTTAAAGCTTTCAAATAGGCTCAAACTCTTTGGCTTAGCACCTCAGACCCATCCTATTCTCATCCCCATGGATTTTTGGAGCCCCCAGCTGACTTCCTTCCTCCTAGGCTCATTGAAGTGTTTCCATTTCTCCAAATCTGGGCTGCCCCTTTGGTGTCCCTGTACCTCTGAAGGTGCTGTTCCCCTGGCAAGGAATACCTATCTTTCTTCCAACTTTGGGAACTGGTAAATTCCTGCTTATTCACAATTTAACTTGTGGCACCTTGGAGTCCATATTGCTAGCCTGCTAGGTGCTAACCACAAAGGTTACAAAGAGGAATAAGTACTCCCTGATCGTCCAGAGCTCCCGGGTGATGGAGACGGATGGAAATGGATCATCCCAATGTAACGCCGGAAATAATTAGGTACATAAAACATGTCTGCTGCAGGGACATAGAAAAGGGGTTCACGATGCAATTGGGGCACAGAGAAAGCTCCATAGAGGTAGCTTCTCAGCTAAAAGCCAGCCAAAGAAGGGTGAAAAAGATGTCCAGAGAGAACAGCATGAACTGCAAGCACAGTGAGGGTAAACAGCATGGTGTATATAGGAAAAACCGGCAAGTCCACATCACTGAGGCCCCATTATTCAGAGACTGGAGTTGGAGAAGGTAGAGGCCAACTCTTCTGGGAGTGCTTGGGCTCCATCTTCAGGTGGGCATGACTGCGGATGAGTTTATCTTTGAGCAGTGAATGCAACTTCTAACAGATGCATCTTCCGAGGACACTCTGCAAAGCAGCAGCTCCCTTTCACTGCCTGCCTTAGCCTGTGTGCGGCCAGGCTCGTCCAGCCGGTGCAGCTAGCCTTCCCCAATGCAGCGCCTGGGAGGCCTGCAGCCACATCTCCCGGGGCTGGTGCTCTCTCTCTCTAGGCAGGAGTTCTTCCATGGGAAGCAAAGGAAATGAGCACAGGGCAGCATGTCCCTCGGGGAGCAGCTCTGGCAGAGGGTGCCAGGCTATGCCTCGGGCAGCAGCAGCACTGAGTTCCCAACGGCATAATCCTGTGTGGATGCTGGACTTTTCCCTTAGCTGTAGCATACAAGCTCCTCCCTTATCTTCCCAATCAATCTCAAAATAATCTAATAAATCCCTTCCTGACAACAACGGATTCAGTCATCTGCAACACATGAAAAGCACTGTCTTGATAGCAGCAATGAGCACCCAGCATGCTGTCCACTTCCCTGGGTCAGAATGCAAACCTCCTGAGGACAGGCAGTTGGCCACTGCTGCAACA